AGTTTCTTCATGTGAGATGTCAGAGGGATAGGTAGGAGTTGAGTTAATGTGAGGAGAGTGTATTTGAATACAATATGTGTGTGTAGGCCCACAGCCACTGAGGCGCTGTGTGGGCGGACGAATAGATGATGTGCTCTCTGATTAAACCCCAGCGCCCGAGCTGTGGCCTCACGCTGCAGTTAAAACTCCAGTGGGTGCTCCTCACCTGTCTTATGTAAGAAGGTTTCTACCTGAATCCTCAGTGACTCACAGGACAAAGTGACACCTAGAAGACAAATACTCTTAACTCCAGATACAGCTCCTGTGAAGCCTTTGCTGTAATGGATGTTTGAACTGCCCTCAGTCATGACTTTGTTTTAAAACATGTATTGTATCGTTAACAGTGCAGTGGTGGACAAAGTACACAACTTCATTATTTGAGTCAAAGTTTAAAGTGTGGGTGGGAGGCTGTGGCTCAGTAGAGTCAGTCGCCTCTCAACTGGAAGGTCGGGGTTTCGCTCCCTAGCTCCTTCAGCCACATGTCCAATGAATCCTTGGGCAAGACACTTAAACCCAAGTTGCTCCTGCTGCTTCTTCAGCGGCCTATGAATGTATATATCTGCTATTCTGATGGTTACTTTACATAGCAGACTCTGCCATCAGTGTGTGAATGTGTAGGTGTGACCTGCGGTGTAAAGCACTTGAGTAGTCAGAAGACTTAAAAAGTGCTATACAAGCTCAAGTCCATTTACCATTTACCATACTCTGGGTCATATATGACTCCAATACATGTGAGATAATTATTACTACAGTTAAAATACTGGAGTATTGCTCTTAAATATTCTTTTCAAATATTGTTTTCAGACAAAAAAAAAACCTCAAAGCATTGTTGTATTTTCACAGTGCATGAGTGCACATAAGAACACATGGGTGTAAACTCTGCTGCGTTTTATGTATTTAGAAATCATTATTTACATGTTTTAAAGTTACATGGGATTTCCAGATTTGCAGCTCCAAAATTAACGGAACAATAATGAAAGAAGCCAAAAATACCTGATGAGCAGGGGAAATATCAGCTAGGATTTACACAGTGGGAAAACACTCACATTTTAAACACCGGATGAAGATATGGCCATGGGCTGAGGAGGAGAATCATCATCCTTCACTGCCATAGCCATCATTACTGCCTGATCTGAGTGATGTTTGCTCTACATTCAGCCATGGAGAGGCACAACATACAGGTTTAGACAAACCACAAACACAGTTCATTGTTTTTAAATAGGAAAGAAAATTCATCATCTGCCTTCAGAACAAAAGTAGGGAGTAACAAAACTTTCATAGAAATGTAGTGCAGAGTCAAAAGTGCGATAAATTGTCATTCAAATATATGGAGTAAAGTAATATATACAAAATAATACTAAATTAAAGTACAGGGAGGACTACTCACTAAATGTACTGCAGTCAATTACTCAGATGAATGTACTTTGTTACTGTCCACCACTGTAACAGTCTCACACAGGTTGTTGTTGCAGGGTAATTTTTAAGCTATTTCATTAAAAATTAAAAATAAATCCCTTTTTTTATTTTCAGCCCCTGTGTCTCTAAAATCCTCTGTACGTCCCTGCTAACAAAAATACACTCTAGACAGGAAAAGTGATTCTTTGATGATGGTTCTGATCAACATTTTCTGTGTTAAGATTTTAATTTAGTGTATTTTTAATTATTTTAATTAGCCTATTTTGTGAGGCTGCGGTGAAATGTCTCATCTTGTCTCGTAACGTGACATGAATCCTCGGATATGACCCTGAAAATGAGAAAGCTTTATTGATTCATTGATTGATGGATTGGTTTTAAGCTCCGGGTGATTTCTTGCTGCTCTCCGTCTCTGACTGCTCGAAGAAGCTTTGCAGACACAGAGCTGCAAACATTTTAGCGTTAACCTTCAATAATCCTGCATGAGCTCTTTAGAAATTAAACTGCTCGTTTTACCAACAGGATGAAGAGTGTCAGTGATATTTGGCTTAAAGAAGAGGAACACCTCGCGGGTCTGAGATTCGTCAAAGCGGCTGTTAGAGGGATTTAAAGCTCCGGAGAAACAGCGGACTTTCAGTGTTGTAGAAGCCGACCGAAGCGGTCAGGAGGTCGGCCACGGAGTCAGCGGTGAACCGGGCTTTGATTTTTCACCGGAGCTCGTCTACGTCAGGTGGATATTTATATTTTATATCAAAAATCTTTATCTAGGCAGTAAAATGTCTGTTTATTCTTATAACTATAACTAAACCGTTCAATAAAATGAATGCATCTGTCTACGCTATTTGGATGTTTAAAACATGAATACGCTCAACTTGAAATAGACTAATCAAAATAAAACAGGAAACAAATCAGAATTATTTGGTGTTTCTCTGCTCTGTCGCCTCCGTTGGTTTGTTTTGATTTTTGTCTTTTCAGATTCAATATAGTCATATTGTTTATTTCTTGTAAAAGAGGCTCATCTGGGAAATAACAGATTATCATAAAAATACTTCAAATGTCGATGTAACTGTGATAAACGTCTTAATCTTTTGACCGTAAATAAACGATAGTTGAGGTGAACAGATAAAACAAATCAACGCACATAGACACCACATCTGTAGGCGTATGCATAGTGACAGGTTATAATAGGCTACACAAATTTAAAGGATGGCGATGAAATAGCCTAAATCACTGTTTTTCATGCAAGAAATTAGATTAAAAATTAAAACTGCGAATCGTTCCAGGTTAAATGTGACATTTTTATATGACTTTAAATCAGACCTGACTGTGACCGATCGCTGCTTGTTTTCTGACAAATGCTTAATCCTTACATTTGTCTGTGAATAAAATATATGTAAATCCATTTCATTTATCTGACATCAAGTTAATATACGGTCCATCCCACGAGCCGAGCAGAGACACATCAGAAACTGATCCAGCTCCCTGTAGAAACCTATAACACGTTTTCTAACAAGGACGGGATGATCTGCAGCCTGATCAGCACAGACAGAACCAGCAGCAGTATAAACACAGCTGCTATAATCCGGATTTATGACGGCATTATTCCAAACATGCACCGGCCCTGCAGATCACCAGGGGTGTCTCCAGGATTTCTGGACACCATGGAGACTGCACATTGGGCCCCTCCTCGGCCAACCCTGAGATTATACAATAAGCACACCTCCATTATACAAATGAGCCATTAAAGGATATAAACTAAGGCTTGCTCCTTCAACTCTTTTAGGTGTTTCAAAATGATACAGTCACTTAAATGTAATGATCAACTCTAACAAAAAAAGTCAGTCCAGTCCATCAATAATTTCAGCAATCTCCTGCACACTGTCTAAGTTGCACAAAAATATTTCCAACGTATTTGTGCAATTTAGACCATAGTGCAGGAGTTTGCTCGCAATTTTTGATCATTTAAATCAAACAATAATAGTTGAATTAAAATTAGCACTCCATCTTTTTTGTGTGAATTGTTTTTATGTTTTTTTTTTTTTTCAGAGTTCAGGAAGAGTTAAGCATCATGTGCATGCATCTGTCCAGTTTTTCAATGCAGAAAAATATTGGTAATTTTTTGGTGTAGGTCTAAATCAAAACATTGCCAATGTGTTTTTGCAATTTAGACCTTGTGCAGGAGTTTGCCTGCAATATTTGATAATTAAATACAAAAAATTACCCAAAGGTGACTTCTGTTTGGCAGGGTGTAGACTGATCCTTGACATGTCTTACATTAGATTTTTAAAATGTGAGGCCATAAAATGTCTTTAAATGTATTTATACTTTAAAGAGGTCTGACATCTTAGAAGACACATGTCTGAATACTTCATAAAATCTACACTGTCATTATGTTATATAGTTATTTGTTGTTTATTTGCTTGTTCACTTGTCGATTCACTGCATCTACGGCAGAGTTTCCTGTACATGTTTACACACCGTGAACAGAAGAGAGAAAAGAGGAAATGCCAGATTGTTGAGGATTGTTGGCATGATATGCAAAGAAAAGTATAATCTTGAGACGATCAGATCCAAAATCCAGAAAGCACGAACTCCATGTGCGCGGTGCAAAACCTATTATTTGTTCTTTGTTTGGCCCTTAAAAAGTCTTAAATGTCATTTTATGCGCAGAAAACCTGTTTTTGTTACCGTGCTGAAACCGCCATCAATATCATTAGTTTTTACTATCGAATAAAATTCTGCTATCATGACAACTTTAAATAATCAGAACTTTGTGTCATACATTTAGAAGGTCAGTTGTACTTTAAATTAATAAAACAATGAATTAAATTGTGTAATAAATGCAACTGTCATTTGGATAATTTTTAAGTTCTTTATTTTCAGGATAAGTAAATTATCATCATATCATGTTGATTCATTGGTCTAGTTTTCTCTTTACTCTGACAGAAACTAAAACTATAGATTTATTTCAGCCCGAATCCTTTTGGGGGCCCTTTTTAGTCTAGTGAGCCCCACACTTCCCCCCTCTGTTACACCCATGACACTGTAAAACATCTCACAGTAGTTTCATATTAACAAAAAATCTATGCAGAAAACAAGCGAAAACATGAAATAAATAAATCAAATAGTCTCCTCTCCTCTATTCTGCACATTAGAGGCTGACGTCTGCTCTGCACATGCGTGCGTGTGACCTCAGAGCGTGGTGTAAAGTGTTCGTGCGCGTGCGCCTGCAGGACTACTTAGCAGGCCCATTGACATTAAAGAGAGGTAAACAGAGGGGAGGGCTGTTACCATTGGTTGAGAGGGGCTGTGAGGTCGGACTCCACCCCGGTAGTACACGATGAGGTAAATCAAACTCTCCCTCTCTCTCTCTCTCTCTCTGTCAGACACACAGCCTGGCTCTCTCTCCGCTCTCTCTTCAGTGTCAGTCTGCAGTAGTGACTACACACAGACACACAAACAGACACACACACACACACACACACACACACACACACACATATACACACACCGCTCCTGCCTTGCCAAGCGGCTGTAAGGATGCAGCAGAGGCATGAAGGTTTCAGGATGCAGACTTCAGCTCGGGACCACCGATAACAAGTTAATACTGCGACAACAAGGACCCGCGTGCGTGCGTGCATGCGTGTGAGAGTGTGTGTGTGTCAGGATGAGTTTGGTCTCGGGCTTCCCGCACCACCCGGTCATGCACCACCACGACAGCCACCACTACTCCCTGCACGCGGCGGCAGGGCGCTGTCACGAGGACACCGGGGCTCCTCCGTACTTCACGAGCTGGCTCATCAGCCACACGGATATGTCTCCCACAGAGTATGGCCTAGCGCCCGGCTACAGTCCAGAGTACCATGGCAACAGCGGCGGAGGGGCCACCGGCGGCCTGGACCCGCACCATCACCACCACTACGGCCCCGGCGGCCTGGTCCCGGGGCCCGGAGCCATCACCGTGAACGGAGCCGCCGTGGGTATGCACCACCACCACACACACCCGCGCCCCGTGAAGCGGAGACCCACCGCAAACAGAAAGGAGCGTCGGCGGACTCAGAGCATCAACTCGGCCTTCGCGGAGCTGCGGGAGTGCATCCCAAACGTGCCCGCGGACACGAAGCTGTCCAAGATCAAGACTCTGCGGCTCGCGACCAGCTACATCTCATACCTGATGGACATCCTGGACAAGGACGCACCGCACGGGGACACGCAGGCCTTTAAGGCCGAGCTGAAGAAGACGGAGGCCCGCGAGGAGCGGCGGAAGAGGGAGGCGGTAAGAGCGCGTGAGCCCAAACAAATAGGCGAACCTTAAATGAAGATTCAAACTAAAGAGGAGAGACACACACAGAGACACACACAGAGACACACACAGAGACACACACACACACACACTCTTGATCTCCACAAACAAACTGAAATACTTAAATTCAACTTGGAAAAAAACACACATCAAAGCTGCAGCCTGCTGTTTGCTGTGTGTTTGCTGTTTCTCAGGATGGAGGTCTGCAGCTGCACACTCTGTCAAGCACAGAGTAAAAATAAAATAGGCTAATGATAATAATGTCTAATTTAATGATTAAATAAGGATCGTGCATTTACGTAGCCTACTAAAATAGCCTAACTCCTAACCAATTTGTTTTTCTCCAGTCACGATTTTTAGAGTGTTTATCTTGTTCTGATCTGAGTCCTGACCGACATTCATCTCTGAGTGTAAACAATCATTATTAATACTCCTGGTTTCATGTTTAGTCCCCTGAAAATGTAGAACTGAACGTCACAGTTGTCACTTCCTCTTCACGCTTTTAAAACAATAAAAATGATTTGCGTACAAAGTGAACCAAACATGTTGGTTTAATAAAACTTGAAAAGAAGAAGGAAGAATTATGTTTATTTGTAATATAGTTTACATATAAACTTCTACATTAAATAAAGTCAAAAGACAATTAAATGTAAAAATCTGTTAAATTATTACTTTATTTGTACTATTAAATAGGATCCAACTCAGATTTTTTAAACAGTATCCTAAACGAACACGGACTTCGTGGTAAAATCAAAAATTAAGAAAAATAAACAAGACATCATATGGGCTAGTACAAGTTATCTTAAACTATTTTGTGTGAAATATATGTGTAATTTGAAAATAACAATAGACTCTGTGTAGCATCTTGTTCGGCTGTTTTTGAAAGGTTATTGACCGTGAGATCGTTTAAATTAGGCTATCTTTATTTAAGGAGGTCGTCGCTGCTGCAGAAAAGAAAATAATTAATATTTTTTTTGTCATTGCTATTAAAGATTACAGACAGGCAGCTCTCAGAATACAGGAAAACACAGAAAAGGTAAAAACAAGATAAAAAGGCAGAAACGTAAAACACAACATGTAAACATCGTAGTAAAAAAGCACTGTAATCCTAGTTCTGTACACGGTTGTCACAAGAGTAAAGAGTAATAAATTCAGAGTCCGAGTGTGATTTAATATGACTTTAATCGTGTTTCTACGCGGCCTCATGCGGCGTCATGAAATGTGCAAGACATAACCTAAAGTTGTTTTTTAAGCGTCTCAGACACGGTGAATAAATCTGATCAAAGCGGGATTGTGGATGCTCTATTTAAAGAACAATTAGAAAAATGTCCTTGATGATTTGTAACCTTTAATTAATGAAGAGAGGAAGGAGACAGATATAGATAATCCGCCTTTTCTCTAGGCCTCCGGGTTATTTTACCTTTAGAACCAAAGTCGCCAGATTAATGACCTTTAGGCCTACATTAAGACAGATAGATAGATATTATCTATCTGATAGATAAAACACAACACAAAGTAGGCTACATAGATTAAAGGGGGGCTGTTAAAAACAACAGCTGATGAAAAGTTTATATCTTATATTGTTCAGGGTTGTTAATATTTTATATTTAAATCTGTGGAGACTTTCAAAACATCCGGGTCTCATAGAGCGACACGAAGTGCTTCAAGGCAAGTCACATATCCACGCTTTGTCCCGGACCTTCAGACTCACAAGGTTTAGTCCATTTTAACCGAGCTAGGATGCTAAGCTAAGGCTAAGCAGCAGCATATAGCCTTACCTCCCCTCCCCTCCTCCTCCTCATAAACACAAAGATTGGACATAATAACGGGAAAGAGTCCGTGAGAGGGGAGACGCTAAATTGGTTTCCATCCTCAGACAGCTTGGAGCCAGCAGGGGCCACGCGCTGCAGCTCTGTTATTGCTATAGCAACACTCTCCTCTCTCTCTCTCTCTCTCTCTCTCTGCACGCTTTATTCCGCACATTCCCACACGTGCACGCCACACACATCCTGCAGAAACCACAGCAGCATATAACAAACCTGATCAGGACTTATTAGAATTAAACTCATATTAAAACGTTTTTACATTTAAACAATCAAAGACAAAAAAAAGTGTTCTCTTTTAGTCCAGGAGATCATCAAATTGCTGCTATGATGCACCACTTCGATTTGAGTTAATTATCCTTTTTTAACAATTTTAAATGTTGCTAAAAAATCAGAAACAGCCTCAGAAGATAAAAAGTATTAATTGTGAGGGAATTCCCAGTGCTCAAACTACAGTACAAAACAAGATTTAGAAAACAGAGCCTTAAATATACGTCAGTGTAAAATAAAATATGAAGTACAGGTTTAGTGTAAAGAAACTGTGTGTGATAGACTAAAAGGACAAATACATCATATATGTCTGCTTGTTGTTTTGACACATTTATCTCCTGACTGACCGGTCCTTCATCACCTCCTCTGCCTCCTCAGCTCACATGGAGATTTACTCCTGCACAGAAAGTGTGTGTGTGCAGAAACAAAGTGTGTTTGTGTAGAAACAAAGTGTGTGTGTGTGTGTGTGTGTGTGTGTGTGCCCAAACCGAGCGTGTGCAGAAACAATGCTGTTTACACTTGCACAATACTCCCAAAAACGTCCTGAAATTTTCAGGGTGAGCTGCTCCAAAATGTTTCCCTCCAGCCTCGTGGTACATTTTCTGCATGAAGTGGAGGTGAGCTGTACAAGGAAAACTCTCCCCGAGAGCAGGTGGAGGTGGTGACGGTTATAGGCCATATCGTAATCGGTGTGTGCACTTTACGAAGCGGCAGGATTCTGTTTTCTGTTGACCAGTTTGTTCTTCTCCGCTCATTTGTTGATATTGTTGAAAAATATTGTTGTTGAGTGAAAGGCAAAAATTCTTATAACAATGTCAGACTCTGTTGCCTTATCTGCATCTCAGCGCAATTATTTTTACGTCATGTCCCGCCTCCTGTGACCTCCCAGCCCCCCTCCTCCTGTCCGTCTTTTGCTGTGAGGTGCATGTGTGAACAAGCAACTCAGAAAGAATCCAACACACACACACACACACACACACACACACACACACACACACACACACACACACACAGAGGACTGAAGAGAGCATAATAATAGTTACCTCTCTGTAGGAAGTGTGGAGTCTAATTGAAGACAGAGAGCAGATTCTGCTCACATTTCATGTCACATGTCACACTCGTCCTGATGCACACACACCACACACCGCGCACACACACACACACACACACACACACACACACACACACTGTGGTGCTGCAGCTGCTTTTAAGTAGGTTACAGAGAATTTATTCATTAAGTTCTTCAAACTGTTTGTTTGGAAACTAAGTTGTGCAATAATCACCACTGAGCCTGTGAATGTGTGTGTGTGTGTGTTGATTTGATTCAGCGCAGTACTGCCTTCCTAATACGTATTGATCCTTGATCTTTTAGTAGATGAATCATTAAGGGTATATTTAACGAGGTAAACTTCAGATTATGTTAGACCAGATGAATTGTTTTTTATTGACCCTGAGTGGAAATTTGTCTTCAGTGCAAAAGTGCAGAGAAAACACACATCTTTGTGTAATAAACATGACACAAGGCAGGAGCCATAAAACCATGTCAAGTAATGAAAAAAAAATCAGTAAAATAGATCGATTTCCATATGCACAATAAAAAAAACTATAAAGTACAATACATAAACACTTAAGGCTAAAAAAGATCCTAAATAAATCGAAACATGAGTTTCATACGTTGCAGGGTCAGGTTCATGTGTTAATGTCACTGATTTTAAGAACTTTATTAAATGTACTTAGATGTAAAAGGAAAGGGGTCACATACAAATGCAAATATAATCTACAAAATATTATAATAATAAAAATGTAAATAACATTAAGTGTGTGCACTGTGTACCCTTTTACTCATGGACAGATCAGAGATTGCACTCACCATGTAGTGCTTGATTTGATTCATGAAACACTGCAGAGGATGGAAAAGAAGCTGCACATTATGGATTATATGAGATGTAAACATCTGTAGAATATGCAAGAATAAATGTTTAATTTATGCAGCAAAAATGTAAACTCAATATAATAAACTATATGCGTTTATAAAACCGTAAAAAAATCAAGTTTGTGTCGATGTGATAAGTGAGCTGAAATACAGGGCAAAGTGTCTGTGAGTTACAGGATTGATGAGCAATGTGCAACATCTTGATAACATTCAATCAGTGGTGCAGGGTATACTCAGGTATACTCAGGTATACTCAGGTATATGGATAGTTTTCAGTCTCCATAGGGTATACCCACTTCTAAATCCCCTGTGATTCACACCGTTGATTGACAATATTTAGTAGTATGCTTTTGCTATACGGTAAAGGGATGACCCTCCTGTCTCTGTCTAATTGGCTGGTTAACACTTACTAAATATGCAAGAGCCATCGTACATGTCACAGAGGCTGTTTATCCTCTGCAGGACGGAACACTTAAAAAAACATTTGGGGTAAAAAGCCAGAGTATACCCACTTCTTCAGGCACTACTACGTTCAATAATATAATAATATATACATTATGTTCTCCACTGCATTTATCTTTGTTATATCTTGACACTGTGTTTGCACATGAGTCAGACATTGAGTGCATTAAGGGAACTTTAACATTTGAAAAAAAACATCAACATTTGTTCAGTGCAGATTGAGAGGAGTTCAGCTCGTCAGGAGTAACATTTGAGGCAGGTTGTTGTTTAGTGTGTGTCAGCTTTACAATCCCATTCTACTGTCATATAAGTAAACTTTAGAAACTATCACAGCGTGGCTGCAGTATCGTGATAATATCGTATCGTCTGGCCTTTAAACGTGGATAACGCGGTGTTCGGGTCAGAATGACCTATTTACAATTTTTAAGAAGAACAATACAAGAATGGATGTTTTCAACCTCGTGTTAGAAGGTATCATTCTGCTTCAATAGAGCAGGACTTACTTTCAGCTCAGTTTGGGGTTTGATAGCTGCAGTTTTTTAAAGAACAGACCTTGTGAAATTTGGTGTTGAAGCTTTTATTTTTTTAACATTTCGGCTTTATTTCTGTTAAAACATTTCATGGCTTCAACAGGGCAGGTCGGGAATGTTTTGTGTGAAAACGGACTCAAATGTTTCCACAATTATGTTCCACAAATTTGAGATGCTTCTGATGTTTCACAAAGTAGTGAAAAACTGAATGACGCTCGCTCTGTGTCACGTTTGTGATGATGCACTAAATCAAAGGACTGACTTTACCGCGCACACACACACACTGCACACACACACTGCAAACACACACTGCACACACACACTGAACACACACACACTGCACACACATACTGCACACACACTGCACACACACACACTGCAGGTAGTCATTGATCAGAACTCTGTTTAGATCTCTCACTCAACTTGAATCTTCAAAATCCTTCAATTAAATGTGCAGAATTATAAAATCGTAAACATCACAATGTAAAGATCTGCAGACGATAAGCTGGTGAACGTATTTAAAAAAGCTTCAGAAGACGTCATAGTTCATCTCCTGCAATATTGGTATTTCTGAATACTTGCCATGCTCTGAAAGAAGAGGCTGTGATTTATTTTTGTTAAAAGTGAAGACTTTGTAAAACAGGACCAGCTTATTGAGCAGGTATGTTTACTCAGAGAGGGATTAAACTCCAGTAAACTATGCTCTCTGAACAAAATTAAATACTAAACAATAAACTATGAGCCTGCATTAGACAGCAGTGATGCACTGAGGAGCGCAAAGAAAGCAGAAATAAACATGATAATAAATTGCGTCTGCATATAACAGACGTGTTAGTTTACAACAGATGTTGTTCCAGTTTTTACTCTGAAGCCGTGTGCACAGGACAATGTCACATCAGGAGGATAATAATCATACATGATAAAATACGTGTTCAGAAAATTATGATTTATAATGTTAGAGAAATGTTTCAGAAGCAAACTTATTATTATTATTATTTCCACTTCATTTCTGCGCTCTCTCTAACATCCTTGAATTAGCACATTCATCAACATTACACTGATAAGCAGGATAGCTACGGTACTTACTAAAACACATAAAAGTAAATATATGATATACATAAACTACCCTGTAGGCCTTCTAAAGGTAGAATAGAATAGATGTTTATTTGCACAGGTACAAAGCAGTACAGGTGTATTAGTCTGTGTGCGTTATGAGTCAGCTTTATAATATTTAAAGATATGAAAGTAAAATAAATGACATTGTTATTACAAAGAAATTACAATTTCAGTGATTGCAATACACACACACACACACACACACACACACACACACACACACACACACACACACACACATCTATAAGTGTAGCTCTGGTGTATTTTTATTGTGTGACTCCTCGTGTCTGTTCTCCTTATAAACGACAACCCTTTCTTTAATTGGACCTCTTCTACAATAACGAACCAGAAACTTTTGATGTACCAATCAGCTGCTTGTTTATTGCTCGGTCACTTCTGTCTCCATAGTAACACTTTATGTTCATCTTCGTAAACTCAGAGAGAAAGAGGAGGGCGGGATGAACACTTTCACTATGACTTTATTTATGAGTAACCTTCAGATCCTCTGATCCGGGTCCAGTATTATTATTTGGGTCAGTAATCTCTCCGTGGTGACAGCACGTAACAGCACATCATTTATACACCATCGAACCGGAAAAATATTCCTGATGGATCAAAGTTGATGTTTGAAGAGATGATTTGGTGTTTGATTTGTTAAAGATGACAAAGTGAAACGGGCTCATGATCGCGCTGAGAGGAGAGCGGACCGTGTGAGGGACGGGTTGGACCTGATCTCCACTGAGGCTCTGTTTTATTGATCTGCTGTGATAAAATATTTTATTTGTTATCATAAAGTAAAACTTCAGAGAAACACGCTGAGAGGTGTCTGAGGGAGGACACGTTAAAAATTCTGGATCAAACACGAAGATCACAATATTCACATTAGGCCTAAATAAAATCTGACCGCATGATGTCATCATTTATACTTTTTTATAAGCCTACTTTATAATGAAATAAAAGTTTGTTTTTATTCTACACTCCTGGGAGGGTACTAAATAGTCTACACGCTGCACCTCTCTCTGGAAATCATTATTATGTAGTCCGCACATTCACTGTTAGTTCAGGATTAACACTGTAATTCTTGAAACCGTCAAAAAGTAGGTTCTCTCTTTGGGCACGTTCTTAGATTCCTTCGTTAAAAAATAATGACGTAATTTAACCGGAAATATCTTTGAAATCTTTGAACCTTGAGCCATTCATCACGGAAAGGATTCTAAAAAAATTAATTACACATTGTTTATACGAGGGTTTTGTTTATTATCATATTTGATACATTGGGAGTTATTTTTCTCAAAAATGCTGATTTAAAAAGAAAATCTTTTTTTTTTTTTACTAGTAGAAGTTCAAACTTGTATTCCCCTCGCATTTATTTTCTTTTACAATCTAAAAAACACCAAAATTACAACATAGTGGTGTAAATCATTTCTAAATTCAACAGTTTTAAGTGAAAATTAATCAGGAAAATAAAATAATGACCAGGTGTCTCAAAAATGTAATAACTCACAAATAATAATAAGTAGCCTATTAAATCAGATTGCGATTACGTTTTTTTTTTGTTTACTTAAATATGTGAGAAAACATTTCTTCATAGAATGCATAATAAAGTGCAAAAAATGATAATTGACAAAATCAGCTTTATTACCGGATGTATCTAATTTGATATTCATCATAATTTGTTACAAATAATCCACATATTATGAGTTGATTTCATGTTGCCTCGGTCCAGTAAATATCTCTGTTGAAGCAACAATTTGAATGTTTCTCTTTCTTTCCTTATCTTTATTTAAATAACTTAAATTTTTCATGAAAAATCCCATTGGAGCGTGCCCTCCGCCCCCTGGTGGATTATCTGTGCACTGCATATATGTGGTTTAATTCATTAGTTTTGTTATTTAGGTCAAAAAAAAAAAGATCTGATTGAAAATGCAAAGGTCTCCAAAAATTGTGTATCAAATTTTGTTTCATTCGGCTTTTAAGGTTTGAGACTTCATTCATCATATAAGCATAGATTTAAAAAAAAATTGTGATGGTAAATTTGTAGCCAAAATAGCAAGACATCACGAGTCACAATTATGTAGACTAAATGGACAAGTAGACCTTTACTATATATACCCATTAATGGTTAACCATCCGGACAGTTTCCTTAGCTTATTTTTATACAAACCAATAAATTAATCTTATATTTATTACTGATTTGTTTTTTGGTCTAACACAAAATAAATAATTGATTTGAAATTTAAATGTAGGCCTACAGTTTAGGACTAGCTATATATATATATATATATATATATATACAAAATGACAAGTTTTATTTACAAAATATGATTACAGCTTATAGAAAAAATACAAGTGTGTAAACCTACATTTCAATAAATACATAAATGTTTCTGATTTTAATGAAAGATTGTTCTGTCTAAAAAAAAGCTCGGATGAGAGCAAGGCTGTCAGTGTGACGCATGAAACAGACATACGGACTTTAAAAGAGTGTTTTAGAAATCTCTCTGAAGTGTTCAAACTGTTCAGGATCAAGAAAACAACAAGCACGGACAGAATAGCGTTTCATTAAAATACATAAAGTATTAGAATAAGTGACTTTATTGTCATCGTATGACTACATTCTGCTGATCCTCTCGAACGTAAAAAAAAATGTGTTTACTTCATGTGCCATATTCAGTTTTGTAGATTTCCCTATTATATCGTACAGTTTTTAGGTCTGTTTTTGTCTCCTTTCTTTATCACACAGCGAATAGACCGGCATCAAATTAGCCGGACTTCTTTCCGCGGATTGATATAACACAACATACCACAGAGCCTGTGATAAGAGCCGCTTCCCCAGCAACCTTCTGCTTTTCTTAGTAACGATTTGTTCTTCAATTCAATTCAGGAGGCTATACAAAATGTCACAAAGCGTATAATAACAAATAGGTATAGCCTATATTATCCTTAATTAAGAGTAATAATCGACAATTCAACAGTAACAATACTACTCAAAAGTAAAAAAAAAAAAAATGATTAGGCTAAATTAACAAAGAAAAAGTGTAATTCATTATTCTAATTTTGTTTATGAGCTTAACAACAGTGATGTATCGAGGACACCAGACTGTAGCTATGCGTAACTGGTCAATGAGATTTAAATAAAACAGCCTTGTAGCTCACAAATATCCTATTTCACATGAGATGTTTATTTTTATTGTCCTGTTCATGTTGTGTTATTTTAATCTCGGATGGTGTATGTCCTTAAAAAGGAGGAAGTTAAATGTGGTAAAGGCTGTGAACGAAGAGGGGGAAGTTTAACTTTAATTATAAGTCTGTGTGCACGTGCATCACTTTGCATATTATGTCAATAACAATAAACTGTCTCCTGTCTGCAGGTGGAGATACCAAAGACGACCTCCTCCTCCTCGACTTCCTCCTCCTCCTCCTCCTCCTCGTCATCAGCAGCAGTGGTAGATAAGAAGAGTAAAGGACGGACGGGTTGGCCTCAACATGTCTGGGCGCTGGAACTCAAACAGTAGCCTCCCTCATCCTCCTCTTCCTCCTCTTCCTCACCCTGCTCTCCCCCTCTATGTGAGAGCTGATGGCGCTTCTCCTCCTCCACAGATGATGGGACAATAAAGATCGCCTTAATGGACTAACGGCGTCATCTTCATCATCTCCACCCTCTCCCTCTGTGTGGACCTGCACGCGCCGTGTTTCAGTGTGGAGGCACGCGGACAGTTCACTGACGCTTCGCCTTTTGGAGTTTCTGATTGAACGTGACGTCATATGGCGCAAAATACGCGTCTTTCTCGGATCGCTGTTTGGGGGTTTGATCCCTGATTTCCACCTTACAAATCAAAATACCTTACAACTCACGTTCGGAAAATAAACCTTTTCAAGTAGTCAAACGAAAACTTTTAACTGAAAATAAAACCACATTAAAACATAGTTTACCGGTAGATGTTTTCTTAAAAGATGTTCAATTCCAAAATCATGTTATTATTCTAAGAAATTACATCAATATACGGGATGTTTAAGTGCCTTAATTCTTAAAATCAGTGTTTAAGTGGAAGAAAAAAAACGCCATGTGTAGCTGAAGATGCAAATGGAGCCGTCAAAATAAACGTCAGGAATTTTTTTGAAGGTTTGATGGTTTATTACCACCTTCAATTTAACCCCAGAAATTAAATATTTTCAAGAAATTGGATTGAAGACTGTCACTAATTTTGTAAGCAGTTTAAATTCTCACATCTTAAGGTTGTTTCAAACCCAAATTATGTTTTATTGCTTAGCTTCCCTGTACTTTTTTTGCGCCTTAACCTGTAAAAATCACAAAGAGAACAAACACTACCATGTGCATATTTGAGGGATGCACAAGAGCCACCTTGTGCATCAAAATGAGACGTTAAAGGGGCGAGACAGAGTGTCAGAAATTAACAACCTGGGATGAGAGCATGTATGAAACAGTCGCTTCTTTGGTGGATATTTGTAGAATTTGAAAAACAATTCTCTACAGTTTTGTTTAAAAAAATAACCTTTAAAACCTCATCAGATAAATAAGTGTTCAGTTGTTTACTTAAGTTGTCTTAATGGGTGTTTGATTTACACTTTAAATTTACCTAAAAAAATACACACATTGAAGAAGTTTAATAGAAGATTTGGACTGAAAATAAAAATAAAATTAAGAAATAATTTACCGGTTAAGTTTGTTTAAAGTGATTTGATTCCCGCGTTTTGTTAATATTAAAGCAAAAGATGTTATCATTCAAACCTGAATCAAGAAGTTTTCAGTGCAGAGTCATAATCAGAGTCAGAGTGGAAGAAAACAAATCATAAATCTGCAAGAGATGCAAAAGAGCCACAAAGTGAGACATCAAAGAGGCGGGGCTAAGCGTTAGAAACTATCAAGGGAGATAATTTGTTGCCTATTGATGAATTCTTAAGGCCCTGTGTCCACCTAGTGTTTTTGGTTTTTATGAGCACCCGCATCTTTTTTCAGTTGTTTTAAATAAGCAGAGAGCGTTCGCAGCAGAAAGCGGCCACCTGAAGAAAAAAACGCAGCACAAGCGCCTTTTTTTCCGAGCGCGCCACCTTTTTTGTGCGGCCACTCCAAGAGCTGAAGTTGAAAATCTTTCAGCTTTTCAGAAAGGCGCTGCTGAAATCATCAGCTGCTTTTTCCAAATGTCAAGTATTCCCCGTATTGGTGCCGCCTACAGATCATGTCTCTGTGTCTGATTGAGAATTAAACGATCTCAAATAAATAAACAAACAGGAAAAAGGAACGGAGCAGTGTCGGTCATACAGCAGTCGTTTTCAACAGGCTGTTGTCATAGAGACAGTGCACAAACACTTCATGCTAGCGCTCCAGAGTGCACAGCCAGCGCTTTTCTGCACAGAAAAATCGTAGGTGGACACGGGGCCTAAGGCTGGTTTGTGGGTGCTGCCATCTAGTGGTGGCTGCTATTACTGCATCTCCTGTGTCTGCTGCTGCTGCCTGCTTACTCTGATAGTGGAATTCATAGTTGGATCAAAAACGCCAGACAGTAATTCGGCTTGTCAATTTCTAGTTTTTCTCTGCTTTTCTTTGTTGGATATTTGCTGAATTAGAGATACATGTCTCATCAGTTACACCCCATCAGATAAAGACACCTTTTGTTGTTGAATGAATCTAGTCTTTTTGGGTTTTTGATGTTTGATTTCCACCTAAAATTTACCTCCAGAAAATAAACCCTTCAAGAAGTATTACTGAAAACAAAACCACATTAAGAAATTACCCACCAATGTTTTTGATAATTGTTTTGTTTCCTGCGTCTCGTTAACGCTGTAACAAACAAAAATGTCAAAGTGAAAGAAAACAAACTCCCATTATCCATCTTTGAAGGAATGTGAATTATCCACAGGACAAAAGATAAAATATAATCCACCCGTAGATGTTTTTTAACACAATTTTGCTAAAAGTTAAGATGTATGATGCCAGCAGCTCCGTGATCCTCACGACCTTCAACCTTAAGTCGTGGGTTTGATTCATGTTTCGTGTTATTGTTCAAATCTACCCAAACATTTACTACAAAGCAAAACATTTTTAGAGCCTGAACCCCAAAATCAGTGTCACTGTGGAAGAAAACTAAAGCTACCATGTACCAAACATCTGAATGTGACGACCCGGGATGAGGACGGCACTTATTTGGTGGATGTTTTGAATTGAAGATAAAAGCTCTTAAATGATGTTCAGACTTTACTGCAAAGCAGCTCCATACCACTGCTACATGGTGAACACTCTCACACACACACACACACACACACACACACACGCGCGCGCACACACACACACACACACACACACACACACACACACACACACACACACACACACACACACACACACAAACACACATTATTTAATGGAATATATTTATGTGCAATGTGGACGTTTTAAAGACTCAAACTGCCGCTCTGACTGACAGACTGTGTTTGATTAAAGGTGTATGTGAAGTATCTCTCTCTCTCTCTGTTGTAAATGTAATGACGTCACAGTGATGGCGTAGTGTCCGTGTTGTGATGTGATGATGCTCTGTGTGAGATGTAAACAGTGTCATGACTTTAATAAAGCAGCGCCTGGTTACGGTGACACGGTGTGAGCTCTGAGATTCACAGAAACTTTATTCTGAGATTGTCCTGTGAGGAGATTCATTACAAAACAGCCTGAGATGAGCTCTCGTGCTGACAGAGCTCCGTTCTGTCCACATTAAAATCCAGATGGATCACTTGCTAAAGTTTTGGGAGGTTTTAGGCACCTTTAGGCCACCCTAAGATTTTTTGTATTGAACAAACAGAGAGAGGAAGAATACAAGGCAGTGATTTGAACAGAGTCCTGTTGCCAGTGCTCATTTATTTAAAAAAAATAAATAAAAAAAATCACAGGACGGACAACAAGACAAGTTTAACAGAATAAACAGAATAATGTAAAATTAGTTGTTTTATTTGGCCTTTTAGCAGAAATCCACTGATCTAAACATCCTACAAAAAGAAGAAAAAAATCAAAGTTAGAGGAGAAAAAACTCTGCATATGAACATTTTTAAACTCTCAAAGCAATTTTTCAGCATTTGCATTTTGTTACATTTCATCCAAAGTCAATTTGATCTTTTTTGGTACGACAAACATATCCCTCTGTAAGAGGCAAATGTTCCAGTGACCAACAGAAGCATCATTATGAATTAAGAGTTGTATTTATTTCATGTGTTTCACCCCCATAACATATTTAAAAGTCTATTTAGTCACATAAATCATCCTAAATCCACAGAATCAGTGACACATATTCAGAGCTGTCAGTCAGTCGTCTTATCTACGCTCGGCCGCCTTGTCGTCAGGTTGAGGCACAGCAACACAAAAAGAGAGCTTCAGACCTTTTTCTCGTCCTGACAGAGACGAATGTGAGACGTGATGGCCTGAGTCTAGCCTCAGGTGCAGACAGGAGAGCAGATAACCGGAGAGATGACCCCACAACGACCACAACGCAAGCACACCCACATGAGTCAGCTGTAGGAAGCTTTTTAAAGCAAAGTGTTCTGCAGATTTATGTTCTACTTTCTGACATGCTAATAAATAAAGCATGAGGCTGGAGATATACTGGAGATATACTGGCTTTGTTACCTTGCATTGGCGTACACATCTGGCTGCGTCATGAGCAACTGCCTGATGTGCTGGATCCAAAACGTGGAGACACTCGAGGAGGTTACCGTTGTGTGTATTCTAAAATTGGACTATAACAATATTAAGATCAGTAGTAACATCAAAACAGAGCAGACTGATAACTGATGGACAGAACACACCGTCAGCACTCTGTTTCTCCAAAAATATTCTCCGTGAACCGACGTAACAGTCCCCGACTTGTTTGCATTTAGTTCTGGTGGTTTTCACATTGAACTCTATTGCCTCTTGCAGACGATTATTGCAATCTTTTAGGGTTATTGCAAGCCACACTGTGTGACACAGATCTTATACTGTTGGGCACAACATGCACGTACACTGTGTGATGAGGTACCTGGGAATCATAGGCTGCGAGGCACGTCAACTCGCAGCATCATTGGCGTCAGTGTGCAGCTGAGGTTGCCATGGCAGTAAGCACAAAGCAAGCTCTTGTCATTGTGGCGTTCAAGTGCATAGAAGGAAAAAAAAGATCTGGAAAATAAAAATGTAGACAGTGGTGGCTAGGGAAAAGCTGCATTTCAACAGACTGGTCCTTAGATCATAGAAGCATTCACTCTGTCAGATGATCATCCTAAATATCCAACACTGTCAGATATTTGTCGCAGGCTATCTTTGGTCAGGAGACCGTGCAACTTGTCATCTTTGATCCTCTCTCACAGTGCGACGTAGACCACTGTTTTGGAGACACCAATACTGCCGCAATTCATAATCTGGAACGTCCCAAAGTCATGCAGTCTGAGTCATGGACCTACTTGTTTTACATTTACAAGAGAAACAAAATGTGTAATGCACAAGGAAATGCTCTCTAATTGGTCGGAATTTTCTTTCGATGTTCTTAAACGATATAAGCTTACAAGTCCACGTCTGTCCAAGATTGGTCATGCTGCTGGTGTGGTAGTTAAAAGATAACAATCCAAGCCATAATGCGACTGGCTACTTTAGCTGGTTCAATCCAAAAAAGCATTTGTTTCCTGCAGTTTGGTTGGATCGAGGTCAGTTGGTGGTCTTACTACAAACAAACTGCACCAGAGTCTCTCAAAGAAGACAACTTTAAAAAATGTTTATTTTGGTTTGACTATCTCTGAGGATGTAACACAAATAAAAAATGATTCTTGCTAGCACACATATAAAGCCATCCTGCGATTGTTGCCTTCAGCTTGTGATGTTGGGCTGCACTCAGAGAGTTCTTCAGGAACAGCAGTAAAACATTTATATTTTTATTGTTTATTATCTTATGAATGCCCTCTGTGTTCATGTCCAGGTACGTATATATTTGTTTGTAGGTGACAAAACCTCACAAATACCTTTAAAAATGAGCGTCGAAAATGGTTAAAATTCAAACATACTTTGAAACAGACATGAAGGAGTCAAAAGCACATACCAACATCTCTGTAACACACACACACACACACACACACACACACACACACACACACACACACACTTATCTGTCATCTCCTGTCTGTCTCTCTGAGTGCAGCCCAACATGATCGATGACTTCGGCTGGAATAGAACTTTTCCCTGCGATAAAACCAAAACATCTGGCAGCCATTACTGCACCCAGACCCTCTCCCTTCCTCCCCCTCCCCCCCTCATTCCTCTCTCTCACCTCCCCACCCGTTCGTGTGCTGTGTTTCCCCTCCACCAGGGGGCCGATTTCTCCACAGAGACGTGGATTATCCGTGAAGGCCGACAGAAAGACGAAGCAGCGACTGGCTGAGGCTGCAGCAGTGCAGGCAGACGATGATTTAGTGGCTTTGGTTGATAACAGAGAACACACGGCAATTAGAAAAGAGTGTGACCGAGTTTTGAGTGTCGAAAAGTAATGTGTGTGTGGAGGGAGGGAGGGAAACAAGAGAAGAAAGAGAGAGAGGGCAGGGAAGAGGGCGGGGCCTTGGCAACCTTTGAAACAAACCTCCAGGTCACTCCATAACAGCTATGATGTACACACACACACACACACGCACGCACACACACACACAGACACACGCGCACGCACACACAGATAGGGTTCTCCATCAACAGACACGTTGACTAACCGTGTGCTTTCTCGGTGTAATCAGCCCTCGTGCCATGAGGGGGAATATTGGATTCATTAGCGGCGGAGCAGAGACAGCCTCCTCATTGTTCTCGTTTTTATAGATGTTTTTTTAAAAAGAGAAGGGAAAAAAAATGATGTGGAGAATTCATAGCTCTTTACCATATGGAGCCTTCTTTTAATCAGCAGCACAGCACGGGACATGCTGCCTTTTACTTTTTAGCGACGACACACAGAAACAGTCATTTCCCTCTTTTAAATTATTCCATCTCTGAGTTGGATTTTAATCTGCAGCCAGCGAGCGTGTCGACCATGACACGACTGAACCATGAAGAATAAATTTAAAACGTCTAAATATACGCCAACTATCAGACAATAACCTGTTTTTTAATTTAAACTTTAAATGTTCCAGTTTAACTGCTGCTGCTGCTTTTATTATTTGAGGTTCAGTTACTGGGAACAAGAACATTTTAGGGATGCAGATATTTTTCAATCACACCCAAATTTCCTTTAAAGATTTTATCACACTTCAAATGATTAACGTGTAAAGCAGCTCCATCAATACTTGTAAA